CGGAGGAATAATTGTGTAACTGTTGCTGTCATTTATTGACTCCCGTGTCCCAGCAGGTGCTAGGCGCTCCCCATATGAAGATGTTTATTTCTCATAAATAGCTGGCCCTATGAGGCTGCCTTTATTATTTTATTTTCAAATGATGAGCTTGGGGCTCAGAAGGGTTAAATCACTTGCCCAAGGCCACACAGCCACTGAGTGTCACAGCTGAGTTCTGATTCCAAAGCTGCTTCTCTAAACTGTTCTAGTTCTGGAAGTTTCTAAGGCCTTGTCTTTTTTCCATCCTGAGTTGAGGGTTTATCAAGACTCCTGTTCAGCTTATTCCTCAGTATCCAGCACTCGTGTGGGTCTGTGTGACCCCGCGACCCAGGCTGGTGTCCACCACACTGGCTGTGAGCACCGGGGCTTCTCATGCCATCTCTGGCATCCATGTGGAGTTGGTGGCCCTTCGAGCCTGGTTCCACTTTTGCTCACCAGAGAGGCCCTACCTCCTTAGTCAGCTCATGTCACCTCACACACAGCATCTTCCAAACTGAACCCCAGCTCTCCACTCTCCTCCAGTATGGCTTGTGAGTAGTCCCCATTCCACATGCTGTTCATGTCGACCCTCGGGCATAAATTTATCGAATAAATATTTGCTGAGCACCTACTTAGTGTCAGGCCTTGGTAATATGATGTGAGCAAAACAGATTCAATTCTTCGGAGAGCTTATAGTCTAGAGGGATGGACCCTGAACATAAACTAACATCCATGGCTGGTGAAGGCTAGTCTCTAATATCACATCACCCACAGTTATCCTAAAAGAAAACAAATGCTCTATTTTCTTTTCTTTTTCAATTTCCGTAGCAACCATCCTTATCTAGGTCATAAATTTCCATTTATTACCTTTTAATTATCCCATGTTTCTTCCCAACACCACCGTGTTAACCTTCCATAAGATAGGAATTCTATAACTCTGTTCTCCAGCCAAATGATCTCAAATTGCTCTCTGCATATTAGGAACTGGAGCACATGGATGTATCCTTGAAGGTCAGGGAGGAGGAGAGCATGGGGTATGCAAAGTGGTACAGGAGGCCATAGGATAAATGCTGCATCTTTTGGGAACATCAATTTCGCTTGAAATTTGCAGTGGGTAGAAATGTAATCTTAAATCAAAGAGAAAGCAGAGATTCTAATGGGAATAAATACAGAATTCAGGTAACATTTTAAGATGGAAAAATAAAACTTCAGAGAAAATCAGCTGTGGGTAGCACCTTCCCCAGCGTTTCTGGCCTCTGCCAGGCACATGCTGTTTCGCCTTCGCTGACAGGCCAGGGCACCCAGAGCTCCTCAGAGAGGCTGGGCTGCCCCTGGGTACCCCTCCTTCCCCGCAGCAAGGCTCAGGCCTGGCCTCAGGAGGGCTGTAGTTGGTGGAAAACTTTAAGAAGGACTGGCTACCACAGGAGCCAGACTCTGGGTATAGAGCAGGCACTCAATGAATGAATGAATGAACGAACGAACACGTGAAGGCATAAACTTTTGACCTTGATCGTCGAGGTCCAGCCTGACATGAACCATCACCCCGACTTGACCTCATTTCCTCAATACTCTCCTCTCACCGAAGCCCGAGAGTTCTTACCAAGGCTCTTTCAAGACTCCATGGAACTTCTTGAGTCCCTTCTGTGCGTGCTGCTGGGGACACCCTTCTCTCTGTTCCCCCCTGACCAGACACTACTTGTGCTTCGACGGCTCAGCCCCTGCCATCCCCGTGAGGTCTGTCCCAAGAGCCCCCCCCGCTCTGAACATCCCAGCCCCTAGCTGCCTCCACGGCTCGCTTGGGAATTACACGCGCACTGCCTGACACACTCTCCCTGAAATGCCTCCTGGGCACCTCTGAGCTCACCAGCCAGATTTTCAGTTCTGGATACAGGAGATGTCTTACCTCCCACTGACCCCTTCAGAGGTCTTAATAGTAACAGATACGTCACAGATACAACAAAATCATGCTGAAGGACTGACAAGGAATTTTAATCCAGATCTGTGGTTCTCAACCGGGAGCCATTTTCCTCCCAGGTGATATTTCTCAATGTAATGACATCTATCTTTGGTTGTCACAACTAGAAGGGGTTTGTTCCTGGCATCTAGTGGGTAGAGGCCAGGGATGCCGCTAAACATCCTACAAGAACAGCCTTGTCCCCCAAAGGACTGTGTCCCGCAAATGCCACAGTGCCACTGTTAAGAAATCCTGAGTACATTAGAGCATCTTCCTAACGTCTTCCCCAGCTCTTTACTTTCCCAGTCAGAACCCAACCTCCGTCCTTCTGTTTGAGTCTAAGAAACTCTCTAAAAATGAATTCTGATCATATTACTCCCCTGTTACTTTAATAGCTATTCACTGACTGAAAAAACTCAAGTTCTTTATCATTTTACATATGACCAGGCTCCTGCATTCCTCCCGAGTTTCAATTCTCTTCCTTCTCTAAGCCATTCCCTACGTACCAGCCAAATCAGCCATCCACACGCTCTTGCGTGCCTCAGTACCTTTGCACATGCTGACCCTGCTGACTTGAACACTTTTTCCCTTGTTGGTTTATAAGTAAATACTGCTCAAAGATCAACACCATCAGCAACTATTTATTAAGCATCTACCATGGGCCAGACACTATCTTACGTGCTGGGGAAACAGCTGTGAAGAAAACAGAGTAAGTTCCTGCCCTCAAGAAGCGGATGGTCTAGATCCATGCTCTCCAATAGAACTTTCTGCAGTGATGAAAATGTCTGAAATCTGTACTGGCCAATATGGTAGCCACACATGGCTAGTCAGCCCTTGAGGTGTAGATAATCTGAATTGAAAACCTGCTTTGAAGACTTAGTATGAAAAAAAATAAAACATCTCCTTAACAATTCTTAACTGTTATCTCATTGAAGCCCCATGACAAACCCGTGAAGTGGATGTTATTATTCTACCCATTTTACATGTGAGAAAACCGAGGCTCAGAAAGGTTAAGGAAAGCTGGATAAAGTCATACAGCTAATCAGGGGTGAAGCCTGGCTTTGACCTGGGTCTGTGGGAGTCTAGAGTCCACACAACCTACAAACCACATGGATGAGCACTGCCTCCCAGGCACCTTTACTCTGGGGAGTTTTCTAGAAAGCGTTCCTGCTGGCTCTAGCCCAGCCTGCTGACCACTGAGCACGCTGTGAGAGCCAGCTGACATTTGCTTCCCCAGCTGACGTCGGTCTCAGCCTCTGGCCTCCAAGCCTCAGCCCCACTGGTTTGGAGACGCTTTGCTCCATCCACGCCCTGCAAACTCCAGGGGGACCAGAGGGCCCATGCCTCTGG